TGGTATAACATATATAGACGAAATTCCCATCAATTAAAACCAATCAAAAATCAATCAAAACCCAATTAAAAATCAAAAACATATCAAAAAACCCAATTCTGAATAATGAATCTGTGAAACTTACCAACCAATCAAATACCCAAAAGCGGCGAAGAAAGCGATGAGACCACATTTAGGTCGATAAACAAGCATCGAAATATACCCAATAAAAATAGAAACAAGAAAATGAAGATTAGAAGAAACCCCAAAAGAAAGGTAACAAAGAAGGGCCCCAGTAAAAGCAGCATAGATGTGTTTTGGAAGAGTTCTTGGGACCAAACGCCATAAAAAGCTAATGGGTATTGTGGCAACATAGCATAGGAGGAATCTGAGCACTGCTACTGATAAACCCAGAGAAGCCGCCATGGACGACATGTCGAGGTCCATGGTTGCCGAGTCACCGAGTTGATTGGCTGAGTTTGGGGGAAGACGAGTTAATTAAATAAAAATAAATCACTAAAAAAAAGGAGGGGGGGTGGATGAAATTATGAAAATAAGGAGGGTAGAAGATGGATGAATTGGGTAGTGGACCCAAAGAAGTTATGGGAATGTGTAAACTGTGTGAGACTGATCAGAAATTTGTTGGAGGAAGAAGTTGATGTGCAACTGTTTTTTTGGTAAATAAATTGGGTTTTTTCAATTGGGTATATTTGGATTTGTGGGTTAATTGAGTGGTTTCACAGTTTTCAGTGACAATAGACCAGTTGTAGTCTTCTGGCTGTGTTAGAGAAAGAGTTAAGTTCTATTTTTGGGTTGCTTAGGTTTGTGCCTTTTTATTGACCAAATGGGTTAATGGGGTAACAATCTTTGATTAGAATTGTGTCTAGCTAGAATAGTCCTACCTAGGGCTTGGACTTTGGAGGCGTTTTGAGTTGTGACTAAAGGGTGTGGGAAGAGGGGGTGTGTGGGGTGGCGAGTTGAGGTGTAAAGTTGTTGTTTGGAGACTGCTTGAAGTGAACTAATTAAGTTTTATGTGGACGGGACAATGAACTTGGAAGGCTAAAGGTAGATCTCGGAAACAAGCTTTAGCCTTGTACTGTAGTAAATTTTTCATGGTGAAGTTCAGGTGACCATAAAAATAATTGTGTCTTCTTTATGATGATATGGAGGGGAGATTGTTATGAGTTTAGCCAATGTGTAGAAAAAAAAAATTTCATGAATTTGTTATGGTTGGTCCACCCATTTTGAGCCCAAGAGGAATTGGGCTCATACTGCCTAAGGCCAAACAATTGTCAAGGCCCGAATAGCTTAATAAGACCTGTCAATGCTACATATAAATAGTTGTTCAATATATTTAAACAAGTAACTATTATAACTACACTCTTAAGCTAACAAATGACACCTCAATTACTACTCAACTAGCTTAAGAATTAAAAGGGTTTTCTCGAATACCTACACACTTGATGTCAACTCATGTGCTTACTTTTTAGGTCAGCAACTCAATGCAATTAGCTCATTAAGATCTTTTCTGCTTCATAGGAAGTAAACCTCATTTGAGGTGACTATTTTTAGACAAGAAATTGTCTTATCTTGTGTTTTAATTGTCTTATGTTAAATCCACTCTGAACATTATATTTTGGCTTCCAAAGAAGCTTTTTTGTGGAGTGTGTGAATTAGGGCTCGAAAGTCAAAGGAAGACTAGGGGATTGATTAGATCCTTTATGCACATAAAGAAGCGCGCAAGATACATAGGTAGTGAGGGTTTTAATACTGTAGACATTACATAATAAGCATGTCAAAATTGTGTGTACTTGTTTGCAAATAGTAAAGATGCATAAGGAGACAAATTGGGATGATTCTTATTTAGGTATTTTTCACTAGAGAAGTTCTTTCCCTTGTTTGTATTTTAAATGAATGTTATTTTTTTACTTTCGGGGACTAGTGAAGTCGTGCTAAGGCACATTTTACTCCGGTCAATAATCTTACTAGAGTTTGGGTTGGAGGGTGTCTTATAATAATTGAGGATGTAAAAGGTTTAGACTTTTTCTTGTCATGAAATTCAAAGCACTACTTGGTATGGGCTCCCAATCCATTTCATTCTAGTTTGTTGTACCAAACGACCATGACTTTATGAGGCAAAGATAAATCTCAGAAATAGGGGTTAGCTTTGTAATTAGATGGTTAGGATGAGGACTCATGAGTTTCAAGGGATCATGGAAGTGACCTTGTCTTCCTGACTTCCTCAATATGGAATGGAGGGGAGATTGTCATGGGCTAAGCCCAATGTGTTGGTAAGATATACAAGTAATAAATTTGTGGCTTTTGTGAATGGGTATTATATTGTATTTTTACTTGTCTTGTGCTAATTCCACTTTGGGCCTTAAACTTTTGCTTCCAAAAGAAATGGGTTTTGTGGAGTACTAGAGTGTGTGAATTAAAGCCCAAAAGTCAAAGAAAGACACAAAAGACACGGGTGGTTAATCAGCTTTTTAACGCACACAAAGAAGCATGCAAAAGAGAGAGTTAGTGAAGGTTCCATGTTTCAATAGTGCATCCATGATCCATCACGTAAGCAAACACTATTGTGTTTGAAGGACTGAAAAATGAAAATGCAATGTCATTGTAAGCATGTCAAAATTGGGTGCGTTATTTACAAGTAGCAAGTATGCTCAAGGATTAAAAAAAATAAAAATAATGAGTTGGTTCTTATTTAGTTGTTTTTACGAGAGAAAGCTCTCTACCTTGTTGAATTTTTGAACAAGTGTTCCATCTATTATTTGAGTTAATGGAGGCTATTGAATCGACCATGCTACAATTTATATTAACCACTCAATTATATAAATAAAGCTTGGGAGGGAATGTGTCATATGATTAAAAATTATTTTTAGCTATAAACATTAATGATTTAATGTCGTGTATGGTGTAGTATTCTAGAATATGCTAGTTTCCAATATAATTTAAGAACAACCTAACTATTCCCATCAAACGATAAAATGAGAACATTTCTTTAAAAGGAGTAACCAACAAAGAATAGAGGGGTAATTATGGCCATAGTTGATCACAAAACTCATTATCTAATATTGCCTCGTGAAAGCACTGTTGGAAATTAATCATCTTAAATTGGAGATAATTTCTATAAAACCAACGAATAAGTCTTCCAACAATTGTTGCGCAATCATTTTGTAAGTCGAAATAATATATTTACAAGCCTTTATGTCAAAATAAAAGGAGGTCATTTTTTGGAAATTGTGCGTCTAGATGATTTTATTTTTGCGACAAGTTTATCATAATTGAGATTTCAATCACATGCTACATTAGGTATTTTTTCCATATAATTCTTATTTGAAATGTGCACTAATTAAGCTCATTATTGCACAAAATTAGAAGTGACACCCACTAAATGGAAATAGTAGATTTAGAAAGAAAGGTTTTATACACTCTCTTATTCGCTCACTATTTACTCCTCTAACTAAACTAATAAGTGCAAATGATTACCAAGGAATAAGGATGATAAAAGGATGTCATAGTATAAGTTATAAGGGGTTTATTACTTTATTCATGGGCGGTCATTAAATACTGGTATATGTAAACTATGTGTGTTTGAATTTTTACATAGAGTTGCTGAATAATCTTTTTTACTTACTTTTTATAAAACAACCTTTTTTGGGGTTAGTACTTTGTTGTTGTTGATAAAAAAACGACCAAGACCACTACTCCACTAACTTTCATTAAGCTCAAACCAAAATCAGAAAGCAATGCCGTCTTCAACTTTACTAGGACAATTCTCTAACCACATTCTCGTGACTAACTTGAGTGGGTTAAGGTGATCTATACCATAAGTCGTGAAATTGACCTCTCTTAAACATGACATTAAAAAACGTCAAACCTCAAATTAAGTAGTTTATTCCAACAAAATTTTCAATTAGCCAACATTAATCATTATTGACAAATAGAGCATTTATCATTAAAGATGGCTCTGGGCCGTGCTTTGTGCCAGGCTCACGTGTTTTGGGGTTAGTTAGGCCCGACCCATGGCTCGGTCCACGAGTTTCGTCCCGTGCCGTGTCGGGCCGAAGTTTTTTGAATGTTGGCACGTGCACGGCCCAAACCCATGTGACATCGTGTCGGGCTTGCGTGCCTAAGTAAAATTCTATTGATTTTAGCATGCTTTGTTGTGTCGGGTCCGACCGTGTCGTGCCTTATTGTGCTTCTCCCAAATATAGGTGGCCCAGGGCCGATCCACGACCCACACACACTGTATCATGCCGTGCCGTGTTTTTTCGTGCCTGTGCCGTACTGTGCTTATTTTGTGCTGGGCCGTGTAGGGTCTCAGCCTGACCCGATCTAGTGTCATCTTTATTGTTGATGAGTAATATTCTACGGAGTAAAATCTAAAAGTAATGTTCACAAAAGAAACGGACTCAATTCAAGTGGCCGGCGCAGGCCACACGAGGCCTAGATACATCCCTTGTTTTCCCAATTTTTATCATTAAAACATTTAAAACCTAAACTCTAGGTAATCTTACAATTTTTGAATTAAAAAATTGAAAAATAAAATAAAGTATTAAATATATTAATGGGTAGTAATCCCCTGTATACACTTCTACCTCCTCAACTCATCATTTACAACCATATCAATCACACCAACCCAATAAACATCTAACACGTCTCATAATAACTACAATACAAACTTCCAAAAATACCCTTGCATCAAAATCTTACTTGATTAACTGACGTGGCAACATCATAAGGTAACCCTCACCATGTACGGCGTCACAGAGTATCCCACTGACTCTAATCCGGTATTAACCCTTTGACCAATAAGATCTAGCCACGTCATCACATACCTCTTTTACTCTCCGCTTTGATTTTGCCACCGACTACGTACACCAACCTAACAGATGCCACGTGTCTTATATTACCGGTTATAGCCGGTTCATTTTCCTGTTTACTGGTGCAGTCGGTAACCCCGTCTCTCTTACTTTCCTAGCTAGCTATATAAAATTGGTTTGTATTCCAATTTTATTTTTCTCTTTCCTCCCCAAATTTTCAGCTTCTTTTTTCTTTTTTAATTTTAGTATTTCATTTTTTTTTTAATTTTTCCGGAGGCTTCAGCTTTTTTTCTTAGCTCGCCGTTTTCAAAGGTTTGTTCTTTCTCCTTCTCTTCAAATTCAGCACTATTTTTCAGTGATCAGTGCAATTGTTTTGGTATAATTGTTTTCATTTCTTAATTTATCTTGACAATTTCCTTTTTTGGCATTATTTTTCCCCATTATCATTTGATTAAAGTTTGATTTTTGTGTAATCTAGTCATCTGGGTGTTAAATCTTTGTTGATTTGAGTTGTTAATTTAATTAAAGTGATAAATTTGTTTGGTGGGCTTATGGTAATTTAAGTTCTTGGTTCCATTTTTGGAAATATAAAGTTTAATTTAAAGATTTAAAGTATGTATTTTTTGGGTTTTTTATATTATTATTGATGTTGGATTTGATGGATTTTGTTAGGAAATGATGTGATTTGATGCCTAGTTGTGTGTTTTTATGGTAAAACAAGGTGAGAATTTTTTTTCTTTAATGTGGTTAGCTTTTTTATTTTTTGTTTTTGTTTTTGTTTTTTTAGTGGGTAGTAATTAGGGTTTTCCTAGTTGATAACTTAACTCTTTAACTTCAATAATCATGGCTAGGTTTTATATTATATGGTTGTTTTGTTGAGAAATGATGTGGGTTATGAAGGTTTAACAGAGCAGCCTTGGAGTTTAGAAGTTGGTTTAATTATGGATAGATTTTTATGTTATATGGTTGATAATTCAACTAATGACTAGGCTAAGATGAACATTTGTTAAATATTGAATTTGATTGCTGGTTCACTAGGTTATGCTTCTGCTGATTGTAGCTTTGGTTTGTGTTTTCACTAGAGTATAAGGCTGTCAAGGAAAACAAACAAATCACTGTACGACCGAGCGACTTGGGTAATATAGAGCTTTTGGATTGGGTAGATTTTGTTGTAGTGTTGGGAATTGATAATATAATCTGTTCTAATATTGTATTTGCGAGGTTTACTGTGAGGGCTCTATTATGGGTTTCTGTATGTAGCTCTACTTGAGGAAATTGGGTATAGTTTTTGGTGAAAAGAGGGGGAATCAGGCCTGGCTTTGGAGAGCTATTTGGATTCCAGCCATCAGGGGTCGGTGCCGCTCATGGCACCTTCTCGGGTGGCTGGAGGACTGTCTCAATCTTCAGCAAGTTCTGGTATTTTTTTCCAAGGAGATTCACAGTCTCAGAATGTAATTAACTCTCACTTGAGTTCGTCTTTTGGGAACACTGCCAATTCAATTTCTGGAACAGGGCGCTCAAACCTAGGCCCACTTTCTGGCGACCTGAATCAGACGGTTTTGAACAGTGTGGCTAATTCAGGGCCAAGTGTTGGAGCTAGTTCTTTGGTCACTGATGCGAACTCAGCCTTCTCAGGAGGTCCCCAGTTGCAAAGAAGTGCCAGTATCAACACAGAATCTTACTTACGATTGCCTGCTTCACCAATGTCATTTACTTCCAATAATATTAGTGTTTCTGGCTCCTCTGTAATAGACGGGCCAACAACAGGTCAACAGGGTTCTCATCACGACCCTAATTCTCAACAAGCTATTCAGAATCAACATCAGTTTCCACAAGGGGCTTCTGGTGCTTCATCGTTGCCAACTTCTCAAACAGGCCAACTCGCACATTCTTTGGGGTCGAGGATTCCTAATTCATTCATCCAAGATCCTGCTAATGTATCCCACCTGCAGAAAAAACCGCGGTTGGATATCAAGCAAGAAGATTATTTGCAACAGCAAGTCTTACAACAATTTCTGCAGAGACCGGATCCAATGCAGTTGCAAAGCCATAACCCACAGTTGCAAGCTATCCTTCAGCAGCAGAGGCTAAGGCAGCAGCAACAATTTTTGCAGGCTATGCCACCAATGCAGCGTGTTCAGTTACAGCAACAGCAACAGATGAGACAGCAACTTCAACAAAACGTGCAACAACAAATGGTTTCTATGAAGAATCCACAAGATACTGGAGGCGTATGTGCCCGTCGTCTGATGCAATACCTTTATCATCAGCGGCAACGACCACAAGTGAGTTGTTACTTGTATCTTAGTGCTGCTAAATTATTATTTGTCTTCTGAACTGTACTGTCACTGCTGCAGATTGTAGTTGTACACATTGCTCTTTTTAACATATGTTATTTATGGTCACTTTGAATCTGAAATTCTCTCTGCGTCATGTGAGGCATTCTTATTATAGCATGTCGTTTTCTTCATCTTACTAGCAGTGTCACCCTTTCTGGCTATACTCATTTTTCTATGTGTGTTAACAGGAAAACACTATTGCTTATTGGAGAAAATTTGTGGCAGAATACTACGCTCCCCGTGCTAAGAAACGGTGGTGCTTGTCTCTGTATGAAAATGTCGGACAACATGCATTAGGGGTTTTCCCACAAGCTGCTATGGTTAGTTACGAAATCTTCTTAACTGGAGCGACCGTTCAGTTCTTCTGTTGTTTTTAATATATTGATCTTTCTGAGTTCTTATATTTGCTCTTTGCATGACCTAGGATGCTTGGCACTGTGACATATGTGGCTCCAAGTCTGGAAGGGGGTTTGGTAAGTTTGTGTTCTGCATACATTTTATTGTTTTGTGTTGCTTTAAAATCCTATTGTATCATGGATAAAAATATCTGGAATAAGCAAATTATGTAACTGTTGCTTGCAGGTGAATTATACTGCCTTTAGTATATTCTTGTTGATGACGAATTATTGTGACCTTCAATTATCTCTAAAATAGCCTAGTTTATTTACGAGAACTCATCAGATGAGAGATAGTTTCTCCATATATTTATAGGTACTTAATGTGTTCCATGTTAGTTTCATTTGCTAGATTCTGATAGCATGGCCATGGTTGATTCTACATAAGAGAATATTTTGGAGTGCATGCTAATTTGTGCTCTGTAATGACATCTTATAGTCTGAGACTTGGTCAATGATTGAATATACCCTACACTTTGCTTTAAAGACTGAGAAGAGATGATTGCTTTTATTTATTTTCTTAGCTATTCTAGATTTTGTTATTGTTTGCTCTCTCATCATCTTACATGGAACCAATATTAAATGTGGATTTTTTGCTAAACAATTGTGATTTACTAAATGTCTAGCGACTCGAGTGTGAGGCTCTTCATCTGTTACCTACTGGTTATATTCTGTATAGCGAATTCTGAAGGCTATAATTTTAAGATGACACAGAAGTGGTCTAGTAGCAAAGTTGTAACGCAGGTAGCTGTCTATTTGTTGCAGACTAATTGAGAGGGTGCAAATATGGAATATTATTGGTCCAAATATGGGATTAAGCTTGCTGCTATGTTTATTTATTTATCCTATATACTGTTCCTCAATGCACAATTTCATTTGCTTAAGTTATTTAGGGTGATTAAGAAACATGCTATATATGGTTTTGCTTCTAACATCTTATTATTCTCTCGTGTGTCAACAGAAGCAACATATGAAGTACTCCCACGGCTCAATGAAATTAAATTTGGCAGTGGCGTGATAGACGAACTTTTGTTTGTCGATGTGCCCCGTGAACGTAGGTTTGGTAATGGAATAATGATGTTGGAATATGGAAAAGCTGTTCAGGAGAGTGTGTATGAGCAACTTCGTGTTGTTCGTGAGGGTCAACTTAGAATCATATTCACCCAGGAATTAAAGGTAATGTGTTTGGTATTGTAATGCGATATATCCAATTACAGTACCTTTACCTTTCTACTTCTTGCACATTTACCTTATTTGATTCACAGATCTTATCATGGGACTTCTGTGCACGTCGCCATGAGGAGCTACTTCCTAGGAGGCTTGTTGCCCCTCAGGTAATTTTTTTCTTTTTTCCATTTCTTATTTCAAGTCTTAACAATCTTCACACCTTCGTTTTTGAAATATTTGTGGATAAACTTTGCTCATCTTGTTTAAGTTAATGAAGAGTTGAAGACAATCAAAATGTTGTTTTCCTCCTCTCCACCCCGTTTTCTCTTTTTTTTTTTTCCTCTATATATTCATATCACACTTCTACTCTTAATCTCCGTAATCTTACATTTTGGGATGGAGTATGTATTATTAAATATTCAAGTTCTCTGCGTGGTTAATCTTTGTTTGTGTAGCTGTTGTTTTGTCTTGTTTTGTTTTTTTTTTTTTTTTTTTTTTTTTTTTTTTTTTTTTTTTTTTTTTGTTCTTGATGGTCAATGTGTAATAAAGAAGTTATATGCTTATTATCAGGTGAACCAGCTGCTTCAGGTTGCGCAAAAATGTCAAAGCACACTTGCTGACAGTGGATCTGAAGGAGTTTCTTCACAAGATTTACAAACGAACAGTAATATGTGAGTTTATTAATCTTTAGCAAGAGGTTAATAACGGTCACGACTGGTATAATATGCTGAAAAGTGCAGTATGGAGTGCCTTGTTTACTATCTTTCATCCTAAAGGCTTTGGAATGTATTATATATACGTGGTAGTTATATTACCATTACATTTTCATACAGTTAATATCACATAGTTCAGCTGTCGATCCTGTAGTAAATCATAAAGATTCTTGGAAATAAATGCTGTGTAATTTTATGGTATTGATTTTTTCAATTCGACCAAACTAATATGGGTTATAAAGTGAAAATCTGAAATCATTGTTCTGCTATAGGGTTGTAACAGCTGGTCGCCAACTTGCTAAGAGTTTGGAGTTGCACTCGCTCAATGACTTGGGATTTTCAAAAAGATATGTTAGGTGTTTGCAGGTGCGTTTTTGTTCACCTTGTTAACACCGATGATGAATTCTTTCTTATAATGTATATTGATCTGATAGTATCTGATATACTCTTGCAACAGATTGCCGAGGTTGTCAATAGCATGAAAGACCTTGTAGATTTTTGCCGGGACAATAAAGTTGGTCCTATAGGTAATTACTTATATAATTAATTGGAATATGGTCATTTACTTGAGGGGTATATCCATTTTCTTATTTTTTAATGCATGCATGTCAACAAAGTCCACCGTCCGCTGGCTTGAGCCTTTGCACCTGATCCTCAAAAGCGGATGAATGTTTAGTTGTTTCAGAAGAGTGTATGAATCTTTGTGAACTTAGTTAATTAATCTCGTTTTATAAGAGACGCATTGCATTTACAAAATTTGCGCTGCATTAGTGAGCTTGTCATGCTTCACTCATTAGGCTCAATGTCACTGTTCAACAAATTTGTGGAAATCAATGCAATATATGTTCACCTTGTATCTCTGTATAGAATAAATTCCAAATTCATTTCTTTGTTTTATTTGTGATAGCTCGGGCAGCAGGGTTATGCTATTTACCTTGCCTACCCTCTCTCTCCCTCTCTCTCTCTCTCTCTCTTTATTATTCTAAATCCATTAAAAGCATCATGTCTTGTCAATAATTACACCTAGGAAGTTCACCTCTCCGAGGTTTGTTTTATTGGCCATTTCTTTACTGTAATCATTCATTTTTTCCATAAGTACCATAACTGAATGTATCTATAGCTCTCTCCTCGAGATTCACAGTTCAATTAGCTTGGCGAGATGATTATGCTCTTCAAGCGCATCTGTGAAAAACCCTGCCTGAAAATGGGACTGAAAGTGATGATTCAAATATGTGAACTAATATACGGGTAGATTGTTAAACTTTAGCTATGTTTCTTTGATCCCATAGGTCATACCTGTTTGGATGCCTGGTCTTGACTTGACACTGACACTTTGACTTGTGACCTAAACCATATTCAAGTTCGTAAATTTGTGAGGCCTGAACCTTAGGTTGTAATTTAAATTATCTTCTGCTCTTGGTTCTTGAACAAAGTAGGTTTCAGTTAAAATCAATTTTTGAATGCATGTAAGATCATATGGTTCTTGAAATTTGAGCAGTGAAATTGATCATTACTCAGTGGAAATTATGTCGTCCTTGCTGCTTTTAAATTGGAAAGCAGGAATGTCGAATGGAAGCCATGGTGTATATCTGATGAGAATGGTTATTTGATCACGAATGGTTATTTGATCTTGAATGTTATGAGCGTTGAACATTTGATGCTACCAATAAAGATTCTTACAAGATTATAGTTGGGTTTTAGGAAGAGGCTTTTGTTGCTTAGATTGAGTTTAGGTCTTGCGTTGGACATCTCTTCCGTGCCTTTTTATATCGTACGGTTCCTTATGACGATTCATGTTAGCCGACCCCAAATCATTTTGGGACTAAGGCTTTGTTGTTGTTGTTAGAGATCTCTTCCTATTGGTCGTTTAGTCTAAAAATATTTGAAAGCTTGGTACACCCTGTGTAATTTGCACGACTCTTGTTTTTAATCTTTAGCTCATCTGATTCTTGTAATTCCTTTTGATTGTATTTCTAAATTTTGTTCTTGTTGTCTCATATGCAGAGGGTTTGAAAAGTTATCCCCGACATGGCTCTGCATCCAAGCTGCAGATGCAGAGGATTCAGGAAATGGAGCAACTAGCTGGTCTTCAAGGTCTGCCCACTGATAGAAACACTATCAATAAACTAATGGCAATGCAGCAGTCTGGGATGAATAGCTCTAACATGGGCAACAACCCTAATATGGGCAACAACTCTAATATGCTTGCCGGTAACCGAGGCACGTTAAGTGGGCAGGCAGCTGCTGCCTTGGCACTGACCAACTACCAAAATATAATGATGAGACAGAACTCCATGAACTCAAATCCTAACTCACTTCAGCAGGAAGCATCTTCTTCTCATAATAACCAAAGTCCATCTTCCTCTTTTCAAGGGGCTTCTAGTGTCCTTCCAGGATCAATGCAGACTTCGCCAGTAGGTGGATTTTCAAATCCACAATTGGGTGCCCAGCAACAGCAGCGCACCGTGAGTGGTAATGGTTTATCTCAACAGAATCAGCAGCCGTCACCTGGCAATCAGGCTTTGCAGCAGCATATGCTTCAGCAGTTACTGCAGGATATGTCCGGAAATAATGCAGCAGGACAACAGAAAAACCTTGGTGGGCAAACTATGAATGCAAGTGCTGCTGCAAATGGGTTAGGATATGGAGGCAATGTTACACCAGCAACACCAGCTGCATCGAGCAATGTGTCTGGAGGTGGTGGGCCTACTCTAAGCAAGAACAACAGTTTTAAAGCTGCTAACAGTGATTCATCAGCAGTTGGAGGTGGTTCCAATGGTGGATTTAATCAGAAAGCGTCAGAAATGCCGCAAAATCTGCATTTGACAGATGACATGGTTCCAGATTTGCCTCATGATTTTGCAGATAATGGATTCTTTGGCAATGACCTTGATGATAATATGGGCTATGGATGGAAGGCATGAGATTGTTGATGGAGGGCAGACGACTAACTGGTCAATTCTCTTTTAGCATCCTTATCATAGGTGCTCAGGAAACATTGTACAGGACATTGAGATAGTTCTCAAATTCACTCCTCTTTTTTTTGGGGTTTTAAGTTCATGAGTTCTTTAAAAAAATATCTAGCTTCTCAGTAGGTTTACAGCAATCATGTTCTGTTTTTTTTTCCTTCTGATTTGAGTCTTGGAAGTGTAATTTATCAGACAAAACCTAATGCTTAAGTATGTGGTAGCTACACAGTTTAGTTGGCTTTCTGAAAGCTTTGTGCATTTGCACTGTCTTCGTCTAGATCTTGAATTGTTGCTTTCAGAGTGCAGTTTGTCTTTGAGATTATTAATTAGCATGGGCAATGATGAAGGCGTCTGTGCTGTAAATAATAAATCAAAATGCAGACCACATAAAAATGTGAACAGAGTGTCAATTCATTTTTACTGATTCTTGTGATACATGGGAAAAAAAAAACAGACGTATATTTGCATAATGACACAAGTACAAAAATGAGGATATTTTTCATCCCGAAAAGTTTTGACCAGTTGAGTAACTTGTCGTTTCAAAGCAAAATAGCAAATTTAAACCATCAATGGAGGAAAATATTGTGTTTTGGGAGTCCCTATAACTATTCAGGAATGACAATTTTAGGGCTCATCATATTTCTGTCTCACTATCTTCTTTAGTTAGCACTCCGTACTCTATTACACTAAACTCTTCCGACCAAAGACATTGTAATGGTTAGACTGCATACTTCAATGATAGGTTAAGAATTTAGTCTTAGGAGCAGCGACAGCATATACTAGCAAATCATACACTCGTGGCTTCCCATTTTTCAACAATGGTGGTTTCGATTAGGATAGGTTTGCAGGGGCAGTAATACAACTCTTAATTTTTTGATTGCACTTCAAGCAGTTGATCATAAGTAGACTTCCCTGAACTGAAGCACCATTTAACAACGTACTGCTTTTGCACTAGACACCATGGGTATCTTAGATATAAATTTCTCTGCTTCAGACTCTTTTCCTACTTGGGTCAAAACCCCAACAATGCATGCATAATGCTCTGCTAATGGTTGTATACCATAATTATCATGCATATCCTCAAGGATCTTCCAAGCATTGTCTATATCACCTGAATATGCGCAAGCAGTCAAGATGGCAGTGAGGGTAACAGGATCAGGTTGAGTCTCATGATTCAACATGTCATCAAAAAGGTTAAGGGCATGATTAGCATCTCCATTTGTTGCATGAGCTGCAATTATCGCTGTCCAAACCATTACACTCCTATGCCATGATTGATCAAATACATGCTGTGCTCCTCGAAGAAATCCAGCTTTTCCATACACATCGATCAAACCAGTTACCACATATATATTGTCCTCGAGATCATTTCTAATAGCATAGGCATGTACTTGTTTGCCAGCGTTTAGATTGCAAAAGTGGGATAATGCAGAAAGAACACTTGCAACTGTTACAGAATTAGGTTTGAAACCCCAATCCTGCATTTCCCTCGTCAAATCAATGGAGATCTCATGAAAATTGTTCTGTGCCAAACCAGAAATCACGCCGTTCCATGTACTCAAACTCGGGTTTTCCATCCTCCTGAATAAATCCATTGCTTTCTCCACAAAACCGTGAGCCAAATAGCCAGAAATCAAACAGCCATATGTAACCTCATCTCTCTCACTCATCTTTTCAAACAACTCTCTAGCATAATCCAAGCTACCACATTTAGCATACATCCCTATAATTGAATTACAGACCAATGTATCAATTTTAATATTTTTCTCTACCGCGAATTTATGTACTTCCACCCCTTGAACAAGATCCCTGTTTTGAGCACAGCCCTGTAGTACACTTGCCACGGTCACGCCATCCGGGCTCAAATTCTTATCATCCAACAATAACTTATAAAGCTTCAAACTTTCCTCATAACACCCACCTTGAGAATACCCTGAAATCATGGAATTCCATGACACTAAATCTCTCTTTCTCATCAAATCAAACACTTTTCTTGCCATACCGAATTCATTACACCTTGCATAATACGTGATCAAAGGGTTAACAACAAACAAATCCAATTCAAACCCACGTCGCAACGCATAGCAATGGATCTCCCTAGCCAAGTTTCCATCCGAAAACAAGCTCGACAACGCCTTCAAGACACAAGTAAGAGTGAAATTATCAGGTTTCACTGAAACACTTGAATTTCTTACAAAAGAAGAAAACAGCCTCAATGTCTCTACTGGCTTATCATCACATGAATAAGCTATGAACATAGCATTATAAGACCAAATATTTCTGTGGGGAATTTCATCGAACACCTTCCGTGCATGAACAATGTGCCCTGTTTTAGCGTAAAAATTGATGAGTTTTGAACCCAAAAAATTATCAACGCTAAAGTTGAAGAGAACAATACGAGCATGAAGTAGTTTTCCCTGTAATATGAGACGATGGTTGGCACAATATTGAAGAAGATGGCCATAATCGCCATAGGTAAGGTTATATGAGTCGTTGAATAGGTTCTTTAAAGCAAGTTGAATGGGGCTAAATTTTTTGACGAGAGAAAAATTGTGGGTATTTAATGGTCTTCTTAAGATCTTCATACATTCTGCAATCTGTCTGAAATTTGCTGTAATGACTGGTTTATACTCTGCATTCCTCTGAAGATATGTTGAGTTTGGGGTTTGTCAATGATATGGAGGAGGTAGGCATTGTATTTTACAGTTTACGCTGGATACTTGAATAGTTGAATGTGTAAAAGGGGTGGCCTTGTGTTACTTAACTTGTGTAACATTAATACGGAGTACTTCGTATGATGTCACGAGAATCTCATGCGTAATACAATGAGAATATTTAGATTGTAAAATTAGATACGATTGTTCCTTTGATACACTTAAAATTATGAGACCATGGAAACTATTAAAAATACTCGTATGTCATGTTTCTATATGGTGGCAAGTCTGGCGACTTAGTTTTTGAATTTTACTTTAGCAAAATATCTAGATATTACAAGTATGTAATTTTATACGATACGACTCTATTGTTTAGGGGTCTTTTTTTAATTTTTGCTCCCGACCATGAAAATATCCGAGATGACATTGATTGTAACCCTAGCGCGAGCATCTCCCAAATTTGCACTAGGCCATTAGCCAATAGAGGTTGAAATGGAATTGAATCAATTGATTATTACTTAATTACAGATCATTATCAATTGTTTAATTGGATTACAATGCTTACCTTCTTATTTTGTAAAATACCCCTTTTACACATTCAAGAATCCTTTGTATGGACAATTTCCAACTCAAATTTAGGTAATATTACACCATTCTATTGTCTAATTATCCATCTTGATTGGCACGTACAAATGACAACCAGTGCAAATCAAAACCAAGTCATTCATTCCTCAAAAAAAATCTAGCTGATTCGATCTATATTAAGCATATGCTATCAAATAATAACTAAATAAAACTCTATATATATTCCATGCAACATAAAATCAACCAGAAACTTCATCAATTTAATAAAAACATTCAATTAAAATTTGAATTAATAAAGATGAAGGGGGTTAACAACAACCAAAGCATGATTAAGATGGCGTGTTTTGCATTAATGATTGGGATGATGCTCTTAGCAAGCAATAATGTGGTAATGGTAGAAGGAAGACTTCTAGGAGGGCTTGCATTGAAGGTAAAACAAAAACTTGGGGATCTTCATTTCCCTGGTCTGGAGACGTGTGGATTCGACACCATGTATCCATGTCCACCAATTCAAAAGGATTGATAAGCAAGAATGCATCGATTCAGGATGTGCCCGCAACTTGGATTTAGACTTATAATCTAATGACTAATTTGTAAGAATGTTGTAATCATATTGTTGCATTTATATAAAGGTGACGGTTTTTTTGGTAAGGACATGTTTTCCTACATCTATACTTGCCATATCTGCAATATTAAATATTGATTGAAATAACATTGTTCTTATTATCAAATACGGAGTATTTATTATTAACAAACCACTTTCGCATTGTAAATTTGTTTTAGATCCAAATGAGCCACTATGCATTACGGAGTAATACTTATTGTACAATATACAAAATAGAGGATGATGAATTCGAACCTGTGAGGATATGACCTATTGTACATACACCTCATTGGTACTTTCACATTGTTTTTATTGTACAAAGAGTCATAGATTTCACAATTTTTTTGTCGAAAATCATACAAATCATGGGACTTGGTTGGAATGTCAAAGGCTAGACTAAGTAATATAGAACTAGTGTTGAATTTAAAAATGTTAGGAAAAAGTGAAAAAACAGAGAGATGCAGATGATTATATCCCTTGGTATCCCATATTATGGGGTGAGCTTTGTGTTAATATGTAAATCGGTAATACAAAAATATGACAGCTACTCGTAGTAAAGACATTGATGCCAATAAGGCCAGTTAATCGCAAATTAAATCATGAACACATTTGCATGATGCTCACTATGCACCAAGGATTAATTCTTTTACAACAAAGCCCATCCCATGAATTACAAAGCATATGTGCTTAGTGCTTTAGCTTCTACATGTTTTAGTAAGCCAAGCATGGTTTAAAAATCACGTTCACGATTAATCATTTCGTGCTTGATTTCAACCAGAACTTTAGGTTCGATACAACCCTTGAATTTTCAGACTTTGTGCTACTGACTGGGCTGCTGATGTTGCTGTCACCTTCTTCTACGGCGACTCTGGAGGTCAGGCTTTTCAAGCAGTATAGCTGTTGTTTTGCCCTCGCTCTTGTGACATTTGCAGCCTTGGCCTTAGCTTTGGGACGCATAACACTTCTGACAATCCTTTCGTTAGACCCTTTACCAATTGATCAAAGTAGTTTCTTGTCACCCTGGTGTTTTTTGAACCAAATTAGAATTTTTGATCAGCAAAAATACTGAATTAAGCAAATACAATCAGTAAGAATTAGCAACACCTTACAGTGTCTTAATTCACATTTGTGAATATTTTGATTAGTCTGTGTTAAATTATGTAAATCTCCTTGATTTGAGTGATCTCCATTGAACACTTATTATCAGTTAAGAGAAGGTGTTTGAACGCAAAAAAAAATCAGAATAGTCAATAAATGACCTACAGGATATACCTGCTTAGCTTTGTTATCCTGTTTCGGAATTCTAAGATTCTTGCAAAGGGGACATCTTCGTAGAGTAAGTTCTGGAGCTCCTCTTCAACATGCTTATGAAGTCGCTTGACAAGAACCACGACTTCTTCTGTGGTACAAAATCATCGTAACTGAGGTATAAGGGTGCAACTAAGAACAGTTTTAACTTGTAGAGGAATAACAAGATAACATTAACAATCTATCCTAGCAAAAGTTTGTATAATTTGCATAAACTCAAAGAGGCACTTCTTGATGTGCTCGTCGTTGGGCAGAAAGTATCCATATACATACGTCCATTTCAAGAGTTGCCAACGATCGACAACCTAAGAAAAACCACCAAAACATACATAATCTTAGCTTGAATGAACAATCGCCTTACAAGTGTTTATATTGAAAGTAAGATCTATCTTAATGTACAAATAATTTACTTGTAGTAGTGCTTCAACAAGAAAGTCAAGTTGTTTTGGAGAAAGGCTGTATATGCCACACAAAACTTGGAGCTGAGAAAATCACAAAGTATATGATTATTAGCTACCGCGCAAACAAGTATATATATAGATACATGACTTGCTAAGAATACTTACCTGCGTATCTAGAAACAACATTAAGTCTGCAAGCGCAGATTCTCTATACTACAAGAAAGAGATCTAAATTCAATGGCAGTTTTAAAATTATTGAATAAAATGTCCTAAATGAGTAATTTTTAGTCTAATATCCGAATACAGATCTCCCATTCTTTGCAATAATGATTGTATCTTACAAGGGATTTCCTAGCAAACTCTTTAACATAATAATCCTAAAAAAAACAACAATATCAAACGATATAACATATGCTAAACATTACCGCAGTATGCATATTCAGAAAGTGCAAAAACTTACTTCATTAAGGCTACAAATTTCGGATCTTTTTTAACTCCAACAATCACCACCACAAAGACTGAAAACATTACCATTTGAAATTCGTAAGAAAGAAAGAACTAGTTCGACAAATTTTTCAGTTGATATATATAGACAAGGGCCTTAACATGCAAAGTAGATACCTGCAGAATTCAAAATTGCATACGGTGCATTTTACATACAACCCGAATATTTGTTCATTGAAATTGCACCTTGGACATGGCGTTGTATATGCTAACTTCCTACAAGCAAAATATAATAAATATCAAAATATGCAAACTCGAGGAAATAGAATGACAATTATCACTCATAATGTTATGCAATAACTCCATACCAATTCTCTGACTGACGAGCTCCCTCTGACATCCAATCAGTAAGTGTGCTACAATCAACAGGAGCATGAGCTTCTTCGGAACACTACATAATAATAATCGATTTTGTATAGTGTTGCTATTAAGTTTTGAACAAATGATGTTTCATATATCAAGAAAAGTCTTACGCTCCAGCAGAAACAATGTGAACACCGGCAGGTAACATTGCCTTCTACACTTTCGAAGAAAACACAACATAGTTGCAGTCAGGAGCAGGACACCATTTAGCCTTAGACACAAAAACATACATTACAAAGGATTAAATCATTGAAACAAAAAAATTGAGAAGACCTGAATTTGAAATGAATTACAGTTTACAATACCTTACGACTGCTAGTGATATAAGATCTAAGAAAGTGATTTTCAAACTTGGTTCTTATCATCCTTAGATGATAGTAGTTCTATCGAGTAGAGACCCAAAGCAGCATCACACGATGGGTTTGGGCATCGCAATGTCAAACATCGAGGACCATCATTGATTGCTTCACTTATGTGTCCTTAAAGCATGACAGTACAGAAGAGTATGTGACTAGTGAGACAAGAGAATGAGTACCCCTTAATGCATAACAAAAAAAATTACTAGCTCGTACAACTTAATGGTCTTTTGACACACAAAATTGAAGAAAATTTAGAAGTTTCACAGCTAGATGTATCATTTTCACTAAGGCAAAAGTTTGACGAAACTTATCCTGACCTTCCCAGCAGGACCGGCAAATTTGATGACCACATGAAACAGAAAACAGCAATTCTCTTGGAAAGTTTGCTAAACAAATACTGCAACCAATCTGCAAATAGATAAAATTTGTACTTTGTACATCTCCTCATTAATTATCAATTTGATAAAATAAGATGGTCAATAGATTATGAACAAATCATGTTTGAGTAGCTTACTTCAGTTGCATCAGCTGGAGTTTCGACAACTGGTTTCGCAAACAGACCAACTGTCTTGTGGACCTTCTCCTCACATGCCAGCCATTCCTCATTAGTTCGATTCACATTCCTTAAAAATGCACCAAAAGTTTATATTGCAATAGAAAAGCAGTTGAGCAGAAAATATCATAAGTTCATACCTTAAAATATGAAGTGCCTAAAGCTTGTTTGTATATTGTAATTGCTTATGAGAGTAAGCCTTTCCTGGAAGATAGGCCTCCTCACTCGATCCGGTGGGTAAGGTTGAAACTTAGTAACTACCTATGCATATTTTCAATGATATAAACAGTAATTCTTGCTCATTTACCATTTAAAATGTTGCAGAAGAATTGCAGTTGGCAACAAGAGGACAGTAGCCACCTTAGTAATTTAATCTTCCAAGCGTTGACGGACATCATCTTTGCTCACTATAGTGTAATTCATCTAGACAATGCACAAAAGATTGCAATGACAAGGTAAAGAAACACCGTATAACTCAATCAAAATAACAGTAAACTCTAGCAATACAAGATAAGAGAAGTGAAAAATCTGAATGACTGATCAAACAACAAGCTTATAATCATTACAACTTCACATATAATCTTGTACCTTTTATACCAATCAAGTTAATGAAACTGCAAATCTGAGTTAAAGAGAACATGCTTTTAAAAAAACAAATTGACCTTAGCATGATTCTCATTTTGGATTGAAGGGAAAGATGAAATTTTGTCATCTTCTTGATCACCCATTTCAAATTCTTGATCAATTGTAGCATCTTTGTCTTCTTTGCTAGTGCCGAGCTCACGATCAAGCATCTCGATGTATTCCCAATCATCTTCAATTTTGCCTCCTAATTTCAAAAAAGTTGAAAAAAGGAAATGTAATCAGAACTTAAACTCATAGTACAGAGTACATAAACAGAGAAAAAACAGAGTACAGAAACAGAGGAAAAACAGAGTATATGAACAGAAAAATATAGAGAAAAATAGCAAAAGTCACTCAAATATAGAGAAGAAATAGTGGAAAAAATCACTATACTTGCCTTGGTGATGATTAAAGTAAGGTAATATGGAGAAAAGTCTACAAAGGGAATTGGGTTTACAAGATAAATGGTGGGTGAATTGAGACATTGATATTCTGTTTGGTAACAGAGAAGAAGCAGAGGAATTAGATACTAGTGTAGTCTCAAGAGAAAGAGAAAAAGAAAGAGATCATATCCAAGTTTACTTTAAGCTTCCTGCTTTATTTTTTAGGCAGATTTTGTTATTTATTTTGTTTTGGAACTTCTGAGTTGGACTACACTAAACTAGTTTTGTAGTAGAAAGCTACTTTGTTCTTCTTCTCCTTTTTATTTCACAAGCTAAGGTAGACAACTAACAAGTAACAACTCTAAAAGTAAGTTTGTCCTTGATCATTGGATTTGTCCTTGTGAAAATATAACAATAAAAAGTACAGTGTTAGGACAATTATTCGTTGATTTTTTATGCATTGTATTGACTATTGAGACATACACTATGGGAGTATGGGGTACAATATATTAACCCGATAAAATGATCAGTAATATGATATTACATGATAAATAAACAGTTAAGTATGTCCATGATACCTTTATGTAAACCAATTCCAGTTGGAAAGAAAATTAAGTTAGGGGAACCTTGGATTGGATTGGATCGGATCGGATTGGTTTTACCAAGTGTGCATTTGGTGTAAATTTGGTGAATTAAATGAATCTATGCAACAGAAGGCTACATGATGTCATGCATGTCTAATAGACTTATCGCATCACTTCAGCAAAGCTAAAACAAGAACTCAGTACTACTAAAAAGATGAATGCTTAATGATCAATCAAAGAACTGAAGAAGAGTCAATTTTAGGACTACTTTCAATCCGGATAAGTTTTATGGTAGGAAAAAAAACTTGTGTCAAATTTACATTTCATATATCTGTATCTTGATATTCAAGACTGCAAAATCAAATTCCTGATTACCACATAAGCGAAAGCTTAAGGATTGAGTGCTGTACAACCGAACCATAGCCAATATATGAGTCTAAATCTCTAAAAGACTTGTCAAAAGGAAGACTAGGAAACCAAACAAATATGATCAACTAGTGCTTCTAACTGTTTTTTCTACTGAAGATGTTTGGAACATCTTGAAGTTTGTTGGACTAAGCGTGGCTTAAGAATTACAATCAGACAAGGATAAAGATTGAAGTTCAGGTTCCGGTATAACCCAAGAATCATCAGACTTTACGCTGCTAGCTGGGCTGCTGATGTCAGTGTCACCTTCCACTTTCATCATTTTGGAGCTCGGACTTGCAGTTGGACTAATCTGGCCGAAGCTGTATGTCCCTCGAGCTCGTGACAACTTCAGCCTTGGGATTGACCTCTCGCTTGCATTTGGACTTGTTTGGCAGCTGCTGCTTATTCCTAGATCGTGTGACATCTTCATCCTTGGGCTAAACTCTGGCATACTTCCTACTTCTGACAGTCCATCCATTAAACCCTCCGCCAGTAGATTAAAGTAGTTTCTTATCACCCTGGTTTTTAAATCAGGTTAGACCAAATAACAAAAACAACGGCCCAAAATCAATCATCAAGAATCAGCATCAACAACAAGCACGGAAACAGGACCAGATGAATACAAGATACACCAAGATTTCCATGAAAAAGAAGAGAATGTCAAAACGAAAAACAAATATCATACATTGCTTAAAGTAAATAGTAAATACCTGGTCAACTTAATGGTTTTGCTCCGGAATCCCAAATACTTTCCAACGAAAACATCTCCGTGCAGGAGAGCCTCAAGTTCCTCCTCAACATGGCTATGAAGTCGATTAGCAAAGTATATTGCTTCTTCTGCAAAATTAACGATTCAAACAGTTGAGAAAGTTTTAACAGGTACAACATGCTATAGACAAGGAATGACATTGCGAACAGAAATTGGTATACTTTGCATGAACTCATGGAATTGCTTCTTGGCGTGCTCATTATCAGGCAAATAATATCCATACACGTATGTCCATTTCAAAAGTTGCCAACATTCAACAACCTAAAAAACCATAAGAATGAGGAACATAACCTTGAATTAAACTTAGTAGCAGTGTTGCATGGTTGAAAATATATCACAGTAGCTATTGAGTTACTAACCTGTCCTAGTGCTTCAACAATAAAGTTGACCTCTTTTGAAGAGAGGCTATAATTGAAGCACAGAATGTCATGCTGAGAGGGACAATAAACGTATACAGTGTTATTAGTTACCAAAAGCTATAGAAGATGATTTGTTTTCGGCTTCAACAAGTATAGGTTCATGACATGCTAGCAATACTAACCTGTAAGTCTTGAAACACCTTCAGGTCTGATAGCGCATTTGCCCTAGACTGCAAGGAAATAATCTTAATATCATTTTAAGTTGATATTAGGTTCAGTGGTAATTAGAATATGCTCGTATTTATATTAATATCATTTTAAGTTGCCATCTCAATGTAGTTAAAGGAAATAATCTGTCCAATACCGATTCACAGGTAGTCCATCCTTCATAATGAAGATAGTATCTCTCGAGGGATTTCTTAAGGTGGCTTATAGCATCATTATCCTGAAAAAACCAGCCATAATTGAGAAGTTGACATATCCTAAACAATGCTAGCAAATGCATATATATTAAGGAAATCCAAAACTTACTCCATTGGAATGACATCGATTGTCCCAAATGTTTTGACCTTCATGTTTACCATCAGACCATTCTCCACCACAAAAACTGAAAGTATGATAGTAACTAAATGTTATTAATATACAATAAGTTCAGCAAGTACTTCAATTCATTCAATCATTTGTAGACAAGGGAGTTGATATGCAACATTACCCGCAAAATCCATGCTTGCAGACAGCACAGAAAACATATGTAGAGTAATATGTTTTCTCATAGGAGGAATTGCATTTCGGACATGCCACTGTATTTTCTAACACCCTATGGAAAAATCTCAGCAACTGAAAACTATATACAAGAAAATTATAAGCAGCATTAAAATGTTACGAAAGACTATCATCATACCAAATCTCAGACTGACGAGAGCCCTCAGACATCCATTCAGTTGCAGTGTCACAATCAACAGGTGCATGAGCTTCCCGAGAGCACTGCATAATCATCATCCATTACTAAGTAATCTGTTTGTGTGCGTCGTATTATTTGCCTAAATATTGTATGATTTAGCTGTTAACGAAATAGTGATTTAGAAATCAAGAGACATCTTACTTTCCAGCAAAAACTATGTAAACACCGACAAGTAGCCATTCCTTCTTCAGCATAAGAAGAGAATACAGCAGAATCACAATCAGGAGAAGGACACCATTTTGCCTAAGAAACATCACAAATGGGTTGGATTATAGCAACATAATAATCTTCAGGATAGAAAAAATAACAATTCCTAAAAAAACAAATGAAAGTTACAATTTACCACACCTCACGGATGCCAGCGAGGTAAGAATCAAGAGCATGTTTTTCAAATTTGATTTTAACATCCTCAGGTGATAGAAATTCTATCAAGGGAAGACCCACAGCAGCATCGCAAGATAATTCAGGGCAACGCAATTTGAAACATCGAGGATCATCAATAGTTGTATCTCTAATGTAGCCTGTGAATATTTATACAAGAAAATGAATAACTTTAGATGCAGCTTAATAAGCTAGCACCACTAGCATAGTTGATTGAGCAAAAGCTACTTAACGCGATAGAATACAAATAATTAAAAAGGATTGAGATGATTTTCTGACCTTCCCAGCAAGAACGACATATTTGATGACCACAGGAAACAGAAAACACCAAATCTCTTGGAAATTCTGCACGACATAATCTGCAAGCAATCTGTAAAGAGAAGGTCCTATTTATTACCAATTATGAAAAAACATATATGGTCTGACGATATAACTATATAGTATGAACATATCAGGTTGATGGAGGTGCTTACTACAACTGCATCAGTTGGGGTTTCGATAACAGGACTCACGAATAGACCAACTGCCTCGCGCACCTTCTTTTCACACGCAAACCATTCTTCAGTGGCTCGATTGACATCCCTTTAAAGATGCACATAGTTAGTACTCAAGGGTATAATTCCTAGGTCCTTAAAACAGAAACAAATTGCAATCAATCATTACCATTTAAAATGTTGCAGAAGAATAGCAGCTTCATTTCTTGGCAATAAAAGGACAGTAGAGACTGTTGTTATTCTATCTTCCAGGCATCGACGAATTTCTGCCTTGCTCATTATTGTGCATTTAATCTAAACAATACAGAAAAGAATGCTACAACATGTTAAAGAAACACTGTGCATTAATCCCAATCTCAACTAGCCGATGTTTCAAAAGCTGAAAGAAAGCATTTTATTGCACTAAACATCTGTAAACTCAGAGAAATTGCAATCAAGAGAGAAAAAGACTTAATGCGGATTTTTAAAATTTTGTGTAAGCTAAACTCTAGACAAATTATATCAAAAGGGCCGAATGTAGATTTTGTACTCTTAATACTCCATAAATGTTACACTTCACATTGTGTTACATCGTTATCTACTATTTAGATGTAAAAGATCGTATATCATTTTCATGTGTCGAATATGATTTTTCCAAAGGACAAAATCGAAAACCTAAGTACCATGAAGACAGTAATTTCAAAATGTTTTCCTTTGATACCAACATAGCCTAAGTATTTCGAGTGATAACACGAACACGGCTTAATTTCTTATTATTGATCAAACTTTTTAAAACAACTTACATTACTATTTATGGCTGAATTGTTCAATGATTTTCTATAAACAATCAATTATTAAAAGTTGTCTATCTTAATTTCAGTGCCCATTCAAAAGCACACATAATGACAAAATACATAACCAAACATGTAAAATGAGTTTTTTTATTTTTTATTTTTTATTTTTTTATTTTTTTTTTTTTTTTTACCATTCTTAACTAATCAACAATATCAAACATTCAAAAGGGGTAACCAAAAATTATAAAATATGATATAAAACATACAAAAATGATCATAAAAATTCCACCCAATCCAAAAATAAATAAGAGACAAAAAATTATAATGATGACCTTATATTTCGCATGAATTTGGGAATTTTCTTGATCACCCATCTTGGATCCTACCCCAATGACGGAGTTATCATCACTTTCATCGCCGGAGCTGAGTTCACGATCGAGAATTTTGATGTATTCCCAATCATCTTCAATTTTTCGCCCTAATTTTTTTTTCCAAAAAAAGAAAATTTAACATGATTTCAAAATTCAAAAAAAAAAAAAAAAAAACCCAAATGATCAAACAGAGATTTACAAAAACGATGATAAGAACCCAAGAAAAAAAGGGATTTTCTTTTCTTAATTAATAATATTGAAAAAAAAAAGAACTAAAAACAGAGTATAGAAACAGAGGAAAAGAGAGAAAGATTGAAAATTACTTACCTTGACGACGATCGAGGGAAACTAAATTAGAGAAGAGATGAGAAAGTGAAACAGAAGAGAAGTTTTTGGAAAAATTAGGCATTATTTTATGTTTTGATTATTAATTTGATTAAATGGATGAGTTTTTTTTGGGTGTAAAAACAGAGAATTTAGGGAAGAAACAGAGGAGGTTTAAAGGAAAGTAAGAGAAAGTGAAGAGAGAAAATGGGGGAAGAATGAGAAGAAAAATGAAGTGAATTGCGGTGAATTGCGAAAAAAGATTGGTGTAAGTAAACTGAGAGGCCCACTTTCTGATTGACTGGCGTTTACTTTTGACTTTTTCTAAATGTTTAGCTTAACCTAATTTTATTTATTTGGTTTATATTTAATTAACTCTTTGAGGGTTCAAATAGTTGCATATTAGAGGTTGAATGATGAGATTAAAAGAGTATAGTGTCACGGACACCTCACACTTGAAAAATTAAAATTATGTAAAAATAAAGTAATATTATAAGTTGTATATGTGCAAGTTTTTTTTACAAAAAATTGATACAAAGTAAATGCAAAATTAACGAAAATGTAATTATATTTGATCTAGAAAAATTTGAGAATTTTTATTTGCTTGCTAGTGTATGCACGATGTACCTGGAGCAAATTTTTTTTTTTTTTTTTTCTTTAACACAATTATGAGTCTCAAGGGTAAAGAAGCAAAAATTTTGTTGAGCTTGAGTCCATAATCAAAGTGTGGTAAAATTTATCCTTTGTATGTCTCACTTTCTTCTAATTGCTAAAATTTGATATGAAAAAGTGTTGGTTTGTAATAAAGAGAAAAATAGTAACGTTAACGTACTTGAAAAGAAAAAAAAATTGATGTGATGTAATACAGAGTTATACATGATAAATGTTGAAGTACTAGGGGTACGGTTCATTTCCTATACTTGGCCACATGCTAGTTTTAGGCTACAAATAAATTTAAAGTTTACTTTGTAAAATGTAATTAAGGCATGGCTAATTATGATTATATGACTATTGAGTGATGAGGAAAATTGAAAGTCTTGACCAAGCTAAGCTAGCTTCTCAACGTATAGCAATATAGCATAAGGAAATTAATTCAAACAAAGTAGGACACACTTTGTTTGGATAGAAGGAAATGAAAGGAAGAGAAAGGAAGGGGGACAAACTCTTTTGTTTGGGTAAAGGATTGGGGGAAGGAAGGTAAAGGAGAGGGAGGGATCCATTCCCCTCTCTCTTTAATAAGCATAATCTCTCCAAAATTGGAGAGTTTTGGAGGGCAAATGGAGCTCACCTCCCCCTCCCTTTCTTCTCTCTTCCCTTCCTCTTCCACCCCTCCCCTTCCTTGTTTCCTATCCAAACAAAGCGTTAAAATGATCTTGTCTGAAATTCAAAACTCCTAATCAAAAGGAGCCGATTCTTCCACAAGGAAAGTAGCCAGTCTCTCAATCAGAATCAGGAATTCTAAGGGCTTTGGCTTTCTAGAGCGTTAGAGTCTTCTAGTCCTCGTGTGGCTCCATCTGAAATAAGTATCTAAGGGAGAAGAAGGAATGAGAGACTACGAATGCGGCTTACCTCGACCCCAGAACGTGAGTTTTTGTTACCCCAACAAAACAATTCCTTTATAATGGATAGTGGTCTAAGCCGGCTGCGATCGATCGCGCAAGTACGCATCCAGTCAGTACATAGCGAACGAAAAAGCGTTCATCCTAGATTATTTTCCTGAATCAAAATTGAAGAAAGAATCCATGACCGACATCGAATTTTAAAAAATCGAATTGATAAATGACCTTTAAAAGCTCACTCCTTTTTAGGGCAGAGTGCCATCTCATCTCAAAAGTGCATTTGTTGAATAAAAACCTCCATTTTTTGCTCGTGGAATGTTATCAACAACCATGAAAATGTTACTCTCATCATTAAGATCAACAAATTCTCTCCGTTGAACTTCCACAGTGCAGTTTCTCTACTGCTACTAGAGAAAGCTCTATCGCAATACGCCCCTCACCACGGTTAAAATTAAATTTAACTAGTTTCAACAAAAAAAAATGGACATCAATATGGTTTAATTACAGGTTCTAAATGTTTCGGGGTTTTGTTCTGTGTCCTGCGGGAGAGTTACAATTCCGAGACTGGCTTGCTGACCGGCTGTACCCTGCAAAATAACGAAACTCCGGTTGGGTGGAGTTCCGCCTCCGACGATCAAATTAGAATACGTTCGAAGTGATTAATGCGGAAAAGTATATGTTTTCTCTCTGATTCAGAGAGAAATAAATGCTTGTTTGCTTTTTTGTTTTTGTTTTTTTTTGTGTTTAATTTTCTGGATGCCCCATAAATGAGGTATTTTCCTCTATTTATAGGGCAGGGGAAACAGTGTCCCTGCCAAATAAGGGCTTGCCACGTGTCAGCCTGGGATTGCCTCCCATTGGCCCTTTCTGGGGCTGACACGTGTCAGCCTCTAATTGGGCCACGTGGCATAGGTAATTTTTACCCTAATCATTTGCCCCTCACAGATGACACGTGGATTGCCACGTGGCATCTGTGACATGGCATGCCACGTAACCCTAGGTGACGGTTGTCACCATTTGGGAAGGGGACGGTTGGCCTCCTTCCCTCCTCTTCTTTATTTTTTATTTTTTTTTTGAACTGAGGGAGGCGACGGTTCGTCTCTTCCCTCCAATTTTTTGAATTTGAACAGGGGGAGGTGACGGTTCGTCTCCCCTTCTATAAAAGAAACCTCCCCTGATCATTTGCAACATTTGAAAGAAGAGCTCTGACCCCGGCTGCTGTTAAACACAACCATCATCCTCTTTCTTCACATCCGGCTTGACTTTGAAGACGTCTGCTCATCCCCGGCTGAGGTAATTTTGAAACCTTTCCTTGATTTCATTGCATACCTATCCGGATTTTAGATAGCTTTACTTGGATCACCCCATCCGGTGTAATACCGTATGGGGTGACCAGCCGGATACATATACTTTTTGATCACCCGAAATCTTGGAAAATTTCCTCTAAGCTCTTGATAGACCCCAATCCGGTGTAAACCTCATGGGGTGTTGTTGAGTAGTTTTTGATTGTTTTCAAAAGCTTTCAAGGGACCCCCATCCGGTTATGACCGCCTGGGGGGGTCTTTGAACGAATTTTTTCAAGGCTCCTCAATGTACCCCCTACCGGTTTTAACCGTCTGGGGGGCATTTGGGTAGATGCAGAATCTTTCCCAAGATCTTTTATTAAGCCCCCATCCGGTCTTAACCGTCTGGGGTGCTTTTGAGTAAACTTTGATTTTTTCCCAAAAGCTTTCAATAGACCCCCATCCGGTATTCACCGTCTGGGGTGCTTTTAGGTAAACTTAGATTTTTTCCCAAAAGCTTTCAATAGACCCCCATCCGGTATTCACCGTCTGGGGTGCTTTTGGGTAAACTTAGATTTTTTCCCAAAAGCTTTCAATAGACCCCCATCCGGTATTCACCGTCTGGGGTGCTTTTGGGTAAACTTTGATTTTTTCCCAAAAGCTTTCAATAAACCCCCATCCGGTGTTAACCGTCTGGGGGTGCTTTTGGGTAAACTTTGATTTTTTCCCAAAAGCTTTCAATAGACCCCCATCCGGTGTTAACCGTCTGGGGTGCTTTTGAGTCATTTTGACCAAAAGCTTTGACCAATACCGGATAGGGTGTTTTTGGGTAAGTTTGACCAAAAACGTTGACCAATACCGGATGGGGTGTTTTTGGGTAAGTTTGACCAAAAACGTTGACCAATACCGGATGGAGTGTTTTTGGGTAAGTTTGACCAAAAAACGTTGACCAATACCGGATGGGGTGTTTTTGGGAAGTTTTTGGGTAAGTTTGACCAAAAACGTTGACCAATACCGGATGGGGTGTTTTTGGGTAAGTTTGACCAAAAACGTTGACCAATACCGGATGGGGTGTTTTTAGGCAAGTTTGACCAAAAACGTTGACCAATATTGGATGGGGTGTTTTTGGGTAAGTTTCTGAATTCTGATTACTCGGTATTTATTTTTGCAGGTATTTGTTGAAACCGTCTGCACTAGCACCAATCAACTTCCAACTTTCGGCACAGTACTAAGGTACCGCCTTGTCCTCTTACAAACTTGTCAATTTTCTGGCTGAATAGGTAGTTAGAAATGGACTCACCCAACACACACTTGGCATAACCTAGAACTGATGTCAACCGGTCACCAAGTACGGCTGAGTCTAGGACTAGGGATGCCGCCTGGGAGTGTTTGGTACGCTCTTGTGATAAAAATCCGACCATCTCTGCTCATGTGCAGGACAGAATGGCCCGACGGCGGTTGATCCTGACTACCAGTCCAAGGGCTCAGCCGGACCTCCGGTTGAAGACGTCCCTTATGACCAACCGGGTGTACCCAGTACACCTAGCGATAGAATTCTTGAAGGGTATGACTCTGGCGGAGAGGAGGCTGCCCAAAGATCCGTCTCCTCTTCTTCTGCCACAACATCCGGGGAGCCGGATGCCCCTGAGGCAGACAAGGACGCCTACAAGTGGCCGGCCATGAACAATCCTACAGAGGCGTCAATGAGCGCCCGGGACATTGTGACCCTTAACGCCACATTGCCGGCATTTTTGGCGAAGAAGCCGGTAGAGGACGGCTGGGACTTAGTGGTACCGCCGGCTGACGCAACGGTTGTTTGGGACGACAACCGTGATCATGCAGACAACTACTTTGGCTGCTACGAGGCGACCTTTAAAGCAGGTCTCCGGTTCCCCCTGCATCGAGCAATAAGGGCCATACTAAGGGGGTATGACTTGGGCATTTGGAAACTTACACCCAACTCTTGGGTTAATATTCTTGGATATATTGCCGCCTGCGAGATGCAGGACGTGACGCCAAGCTGGGAGGCGTTCGCGCACATGCATTATCTAAGCCGTGCCCCAGGCGGCTAGAATGCGTGGTATACCCTAACTACGCATTCGGAGTTCATGATGACCCTGGACAAGCCGTCCAAGTGGTCAAGTTGGAAGAGTAAGTTTTACATGGTGTCATCACCATCTCTCCAACTGAACCGGAGGCTGAGTACCTACAACACGCAACCGTTGCTCCTTGGCAAAAAATGCGCCCTCCCAAAGATACCGGGAGAGGCCTGGGATCAAATTATGGAGCCGGGGCTCTTCAAAAAGACAACCATGCCCCTGGATGACGGGACACACATCATCGTCCCCAAATTCTGGGTCCCGCATCCGGACTGGTTGAGAGATGAGGCGTTCCTTTCCTCCT